AAAATCAATGCATTGAGTTGAATATATATACAAAATATTTTTATATTGAATATTGTATATATTTTTTTTTATTATACAATATTATAAATGATTCAATAACATAATTTTCTAAATATTAAAAAACTAAAACAATTTTTTTATTAATATTTATGTTGGTCAACGCCGGTCAAACTGGTCAATGCCGGATTCCGGCGAAAAGTGTACCGGAAAAAAATATTCGTGATGTTGGCGACATGACTAGATATAGTTCGTATATGTGGGCATGCGATACATATAGTTTGTGTAGTTAGGGATACATTTTTAAACTTCGGATGTGTCGTCATGTATTGTAGCATACTTCGTGTAGTTAGGTATCTTTTTTCCGTGGGATTATTGTATACGTCATGACTACATAAGTTCTCTACTTTATATTATGGCAGCCAACAAGAAGTTTTCTCACCGTAAGCAATGAAATTTGATGAATAGTAGGTAAGCAATGAAATTTGATGAATAGTAGGGGCTGCGCGAACGCAAACCCCCTCTGCCACAAAGAATGACATAGGCTCGTCCTCAAGGGAAGACCTTAAGCATAGCACCCCTGCAGTATGTGCGATGCGGTCACTAGCCTAGGCCACTCGTCTTATTGATCGCGAGTCGACCCCGTTTAAGTAAGTAATTTGTTTTAGCAGTCCGCTTCTCTATTTATACTCTGCGTTCCCCTGTCATTATCTTGGATCTAAGCGATGTGGGACTACTTTTATTAACACATTGTATCGTTTTAAGTTCCACCTTTCCAATAACGTGTCGGTTCTCGCAACTCCATGAGTTTTTTTGCTGTTGTACATATGGGCCGGACGGTCTAGGCCCATTTCATATTCGAATTTTTACCTTCCATGTCTGTTTTTTTTTTTGTGTCACCAAGATGTCTGTTTTAAAGATGCAGAAAGTTTGAGTAAAAAGAACAATGTTAAAGCAATTTAGTTAAGATTGATGAAATCAAAGAATCAAAAGCAAAAAGAGTAATAACACCACACATTTCTTATTGATCAAACTTCTGTAGTTCTCTTTTTGCCTTTTTTGATTTTCTGACCTCTACAATGAAAAAAACATTTAGTAAAACTTTAAAAACATAGCAGAATATAGTTAATGTATTTGCATTGAAGTCTCTACTAAATTATATCACAAAATGTTATGCCAAAAAAAGAAGAAGAAGCACAACCATATACTTTTAGAAAGAGAGTTGTATAGATTTGTGAGTTTTAAATCATATGATCGATTAGTACTAAAAAAAAAAATGGTTTTGAGAACATGAAAGAGTAGTGTGTATTGTTAGTATGTGCATTTTGTTTTTGTAACCAAGATGTTAATTAGTCTTTTCTCAATTAGCAAAACTCGAACTTGAAACCTTGAGGGGCACTTAGTTTGGAAGGTGAGAACTTAATAGCACATTTTCTTTTAAGCATTATTTCATCCAATTGATCTTCAAAGACCCATCTATTTCTTTTTCAACAATTTCTTTAAAGTGTAGAAACTACCAAAATGTACAATCCAAGAATATATAATCTTAGTCTACAACTATAATATTTTATATATAATCGATTAGATAGGTAATTGGTTGCTATCACAACAATCGCTGTTATGTTACCACAACAATCTATTCAAGGCCAAAGTGTTTAGGTCGGGAGAGACAGTAGACCTTGTTTACTATTTAAAATGTTCCAATCCCAAAGTATAAAGTATACACTTGAGGACCCTTTCCAAAGCCCTAACAAAGTAAAAGTGTTTTTCCAAGTACATCAAATCATTATCATCTTAACCTCTTTTGTCGTCTTGTGTCCAATCTTTAATAATTATGTTAAGAATTGTTATTATCTTATTTTCTATATCTCTTTTTATCAATTTTAATAGCCCTATACATACATATTAATACTATTGATCTCATACCAATCCGTTTTATTTTAGTGTATTTGGAGGAATTTCAGAGCGACAAGGAAGAATTCTCAACCTTTTCTTTATCTTTAATTTCTCGTAGTGCTAATGTAAAAGTGGATAATTTGGCACGAAAAATTCGTGCAGAACCGCTTCACATCACATATGTAAACAACATTCCCCAGGAATGGCTATTTTGAGCGTTAGTTAATTTCGGATGACAAAAAAAAAAGATGGGTTCGTGTGTGTAGCCTCTAGGTTTTTGGATTTGGTTGATAAAACAATTCAATTAGTGTATGAGTATTTCTTGACAAGAAAAGAAGATGAGGTTTATTGGATTTCTAGTTTAAAATCGATGTTATATATATGTTTCAATTAAAATTTCTTAGATTATCATTTATAAAATTTTATGTGTGGAAGTTCAAAATCTTTGGGCTATAGATTGGATATTTTACCGTATTTTATACATGAGGGATCAGGATATATTAAAATTCTTTTACTTCAAATAACACTAATAAACTAAAGTCACTGATAAAACTTTAATATCATATAATTATAGTTGATAATCTGTAATCAAATAACAATATATCATGTGTGGATTCATTTTCTATTTATATCATAACTAAGTAACACCCTTAGATATCTAAACAGAGATAAACATGTCATTAGTGAAAGGGATGTTTGGTCTGTGTTTTCTACTAATTAGTAATTAGGAAGCAAATGAAATGATTCCGTCCACTTAGCAGAGTTTTAAATAACTTTATTAATTAAATTCTTCCCCAAAAAGCTAATAACTGCCTCGACAATTAAAAGTTAAAACTATGAACTTTAGGGTCTTAATTGTTACAAAATTAGTAATTAACGGTCCCATTCCGGATACAATAATCCATTTATTATTAAGATCCATTGAATTGGACCACTAAAACGTATACCATACACACACATAATTAATACAATGCATAATATATCAAAAGAACTATCTAAGCAAAGCTATACTTTTACAGGTTGGTGTGTTCACTGTGTTTGGCAAAAGGCTCCTGTTCATTTCTTAAAGTTGGTACTTAGATTTCTGTATCTTCAATGTCAATAAAGAGACACTGATTTTTTTCTCTAAAAGATAGGATAATAATACATACATATGTAATGTAGATATTATTATCCCCACTAGCTAAAATCTTATAACAACATATTTATAGATGTTAGATTCCTAAAAAAAGAATTCAATATTTTGTCGAATTATGAGGGAGATGACATGTAAGTTAAATAGTGCAAAACTAATCTTTTTAGTTTAAAAAAGTTGAAAGAAGAGAAAAATGTGGAGGTTCAGAAATTGATGTGTGCTTTTTTATGAACTGAAACTTTGTGTGTGCCTAATCCTCACTTTAGCCAGCATGTTTCTATGCTACCTTTTGTAGTGGGCCATTTGATTTCGGCCCAAGTATTTATTTTAATTTAATCCTTAATCTAAAGTCTAAAACCATTGATTTTATAATTAGCCACGTCGATCAAAATAGGCGCCTATTTTTTTTTATATAGTTCGGATCCGAAGCGTAAGTTTGAACTTTAAAGGATAATTTGCAAAAACAACCAACAAAAAAACTATAATTAAGTAAAATAACAAAGAAAAAAAAAAACTATGCTATTGTGTGTGTAATATATAATATATATGATTATATACCCTTGTAGACATATCACCCCAAATATCTTCTTCTTCTTCTTCTTCTTCTTCTTCTTAGTTGCTCTGCCATGTCCAACTAACTAGCACCATCCATCTCCTCCTCACTCTCGCCACCACCACTCATATTCGACTCCTTACTCCGCTGCAACTTCAACGACTACGACCGCCATCACTGCCGTTGCGGCCACCACCACCACCACTCCCTATCTCCTTTTGTTTCTCGTCCCCTGTTCTCACCAAACTCACAAGGTCTCTCTTCTCTCTTCCTCTTTCCAACACATGAGAGAACAAAAAAATCATCATCT